CAAAACTGGATGGAGTGGAGACCCAAAGTTAGAACACTGCATGGTTTCACTCACCATAAATTACCAAGCCCTTCAGGTTCAGTCCTTCAGAGTGCCATCAACAATTGCTCCATCTCAACCACCATTCTTCCAGGAAGGACAAAACAGAAGCAGTAAAATACTCCAACCCCCTGTGACCTTATATGCTGTTGGGGGGTGGGTAACTCAATATGCATCTTTGTATGTCCTGAAGAAAGAATCCCTTTCAGCACCTTCCCAGTGTAATGAAGACAAAAGCCACAGCTCCTGGTTACTCCAGGTTATCGATGGAGTTTCCAAAGAGTAAAAAGGCAGTTTTTGGATTCTGAGTCTGGTAGGTCTGGCTGTTCTCACTTAGACTAAATCACATGCTTCTCAGGCTTCCTTGTCAAAATCGTATTGTTCCTTCTGGGCCTTTTGGCTATATTTTATGAAATAACTGATGTTCTCTGTCTCTAGGGGACAATTTGCTGTTGCTACCAAAGGATGAACTGTATGATCTAATACAGCTCTTCCAATTCTGTCTTTTGAGGTTTTTATAATTTTTCCAGAGATTTTCATTTTGTTCCCAAAGAATGGTTTGTGTACCCAACAAATTGTCCCATTGATATTCTTCAGCCTGGTAGATACTTCCTCTCTGTAGAAACTTTGCCACTCCCACCTTCCAGATACTACCCATGCAGAAGCATTGCTCCAGGAGCAGAGTGTATGGAATTATTTCATATCTTCTTATTTTTGGTAAACTCCCACAAAATTCACTTTTATTCTGCTTTCTTTTATCCCTAGCATTACCTACCACTGCTCTTTTCCCCGTTCCATGACCCTAGCTGACACTAGCATTCCCCAACCTGCCAAGCTCACCTTACTGGCTGTCTGCAGCATAAGCAATTCTCAAGAAATAATCTTGAGAGGAAACCCCTGTTTCCAGTCAGGCATACCCCAAAGCAGCATCGGTAAAATAATATCAGATCCTGGGACTGCTCATAGAAGAAATTTAACTCTAGTCCAAGTGTCCATGTAGTTCCACATAGTTGTTTACCGTAGTTTCACTGATCATCTGGGATGCACCTATTTCAGCTGGGCATCAAAATGAAAGGAGCCTGCAAATGAGCTTGCTTCCCAATGAGTTTACATATGGGACTCAATTCCAGGTGCATTAGCATCCCATTATGAACTGCTTTTCCAAGGAAGAATCCAAAGGGAATGAAGGATTAGAGATATGGGAGGCAGTCTGGCCTACATTTGCTTTAGACTTTCCTATCAGGCTCTTAATTTGCTGCTTTGTTGCACTCTTCTGGACGCACCATTCAGGGAGCTTTATTCACAGGGTCTGCCTTTGGGTCTCTGTGGTGCTCCAACACTGGGGGTGGGGGGAGGAGAGGAAGGTGTAAGGAAAAAAAATGAACACTTAGGTTTTTCTGGCCTGAGGATTTGTCTGATCTGAGGAAATCTGCCAGGTTGCAGATAAATACATATATACACACATATATATATACACATTCCCCTCCCCCAAAACCCTCCACTGCGTTTGCTGCTTCTGTAGGAGGTTGATTTTGAAATATCCCTTCCAAAGCTGGGATGGATGTTTCCAGTGTTGAGGTTTATTAAGTTCCTATGGCAGCTATTTCCAAGGCTGCTTTGTCATGTATTTCTTTGCAAGAGACTTTAAGAACGGCAGAGAGGCTTTGCAGATAAGGATTTGAATTGCAACCTTTAGACTAGAAGTGTAATAGGAACATCAGGGAATTAAATAAAATTATATTTTTCCTAGATGTCTGCTTAAAAAGGAAATTCAGGATTTTATGGATGCCCCAGAGACAAACTATTACATTACATTCCCCGCAGTTCTTATTTGAGTACTGTCTGTTTGAGCACCTCAAATAGCTCAGAATCATTCATAAAGAATGGGCAAGAGAGACTGTGTCCCATCAATATTTCAAGCTTGGCTATCAAATCAAGAGAAATTCATGAGTTCTGCTCCAGCTCAACATTTGCAGGTTTGATACTATTGTTTGACAGTTTAGGGGGGTTTCCCTCTTCATTCTCATTGTCTTTAATATTTTATATGTTCTCCCAGTTGATGCTATTGTAATATTTATTAATTTTCTTTCCTCTTTCTTTTTTTCTTACTTGGCTGCACTAACCAGTTTCCTCTTTTCTCTTTCAGCAGGGAGAAATTCACACTCATTTGCTATTTGTGGGGTGATGACACAGTGTGAAGAAGCAGTAATGATGACTGACTGATAGAAGACACCATATGTTCTCTTCATTTTTCTCTGTGATATTTTCTGAGATGAATAAAGACTCAATATAAGATGAACTTTCCTATAATACTTAATAATAAAAAGATTTTTTTTTCTTTTAACATAATTGTCAGAATGGGGGAAATAATCTTTTTTAAAAGCATTCAGATAGTATTACTATAAGTACCAGGCTCTAAATCACCAAGATAAATAATTTTCAGTCTTTTCCACCAGAAATATGCTACATGTGTCTAAGCACCAAATCCAAATTTATAATTAATTTCACCCCCCAAATGTTTTCCAGCCTTTCACAATGCATTTTGTAAATTGCATTTACTTATGAGAAAACAAAGGTAAACAATTCCTTTGCATTTTAAAAGAAGTAAGATTATAAATAGGATTCTGACAATTTGTAACATATGATAACCACAAATCCTGACTATAAGCACAGTGCTAGTATCACTAGATCACAACGAAAATAGTAGATTCTATGCTGGGATGTTTCCTTACACCCTGAGTGGACGAGTCTGTCCAACTAATGCAAAAGATCCCCTTCAGTAAGTATTACATTCGCTTTAATATGTTTTAATCTCAGAATAATAAGAAATCTCATTTCAAATGAACACCTGTATGAAAATCTTTTACTGTTATAGCATAGATACTTACCAGGTATATTTTCTTACATATAATTATTAAATTTTTTCCATTCTGTCCTTTTATTTCATTCTACTGTCTCAAAACCAAGGCTTTTTGATTGTTGCTCCTCCTCCTAACTTCATAATAGCCACTAACTAGCACCAGCCTACAGCCAGAGACATACATATAACTGCTCAATTTATTAGGCAGTCAGCAGCAGAAACAAAGAAGTAAACAAAAGGGATTCACGTTGCCTTCTGTTCCATTGGAGACAGAGTGGGGAAAAGATAAAAATCAATCCTCTCAAATACAAAAATAACCCCCAGAAATCCTTGTTTTGAATACTTTATTTATCAAATTTCCAAGAATGCTTTGCAAGTGATGGAGACAAAAATTGAAGAAAAACTTAACGGTGAGTCCTGCCAGGGCTCTTCTTTGAGCTTTGCTTTCAAGGTCATTCATTTAAAGCAATTTTCATAACCCAACCTGAATAAAGGATACAGAGCCAGCTCTGCTCACTCTATTCACAAAAGAGAGCACCATGCATGTAGCAGGTGCAAGTTTCCTTATGTCACACGAACAGAAGCCAGCCCTCGGAGGACAGTATTATCCTTGGTCACCTGCCATAGCAACAGACATCTAGGAATGTTTGACATTTATAATCTGTAACTCGATGCACTTTCCCCAGTTAGACTATTTATTTGTGCTGTTAAAGCATATGCACCCTGCATCAGAAAGACTATGACAGAAGATGCTCAAGTCAATCGATGATTGCAGTTTTCACGTAAGGAGCATGCGTTATTCTTCCACTGAACTTCAAGTGGCATGAATGCATCTCCCCCTGGAAAGCTGTATTGTGTGCACTTTTCTTTCCTATGACAACAGAATTACATAAAGTCTGATCTCAAAACTCTCAACCAAACATTCCATTCATCAGCAAAGACCTGGCTTACTTAAAGACTACAGAATTGGGTCCCTAATCAATACTTTAATAAATAACACCTACTTAGTGGGAACAATTGATTGCTAGGGAGCAGACTGAGTATAATGTATTTCTGTTAATCTAGTCAAAGGATAAATGTCACAGTTTATTTATAAGACACACCTGGAACTATTCAGAGGCTTGTAGGTAGGATCCATCTTGACATGCATTTAGCACTGTATGTGCACAACATCCTGTTAAGGACAGGGACATCAGCGTAATACACTGGCTTTTTCTGCTGGCGATTCCTGATGCTAAAGCTCAGCTCCACGACCCCTGGCACAAAGGGCAGCCTCTGGGACCCGCTGCTCCAGGAGCTGAGGAGTGGGCACAGAGCACTCTGGGAGATGTGGGAGGCTATGGGAATACTCTTTCATTTCATCTAACTCTAGTGTTTCTTGATTTCATCCAGTAGCCACTTCATTACACTAAGCAACAACAAGGTGTGCCGGAGAGGCCATTCTGGGAATTATAGGTTTTACTGCTTTTACTCTTACTAGACTGCTCATTGTGCTGTGGGAGAAAAGCCCCTCGGTATTTTAGAGTGGAAAATAGCCAACAGAGAGTGCAAGAGGTACCTTCTGTGCAGTTAATCCACAGTCCACATCCCAGCTCTAGCCAAAGAACCTCAGTCTCCACCGTGGCCTGACCACAGCACACAATTTATTGCTCGGGAGCATCATCACTTCAATTCTCTTCCAAGTACTAATTCCATTTCTACCTATGGGGTTTGTGTTCACAACAACCTTCTTTTTTGGGAGTAAGTGTGGGCCACCGATCTTCCCAACTAGACTCAAAATACGCATATTTCCCACGGTATTGTTAAATTGCAGACCGGAGGACATGCCCAGAAGGATGCTTGTACCCACACCGGGGATCGGGGATGTGTCTCCCTGCCCCTTTCCTCCCAGGAAACGCCCGCTCAAGGACGCAGAATCTTTCCCGGCGCCTTGCCGGGACCTTTCCTCCTTTCCCCGCAACTTCGCGTTCGGGGATCTCAATATTTGGGTCAGAGACGCCCAGGCACCCGCTCCTGATGCGGCTTCCCGGCAAGGAGCCGTCTGCGCGCCTGTGCGCACACACAGGCTCCACTCGCAGCCCCGTGCTCCGCACGGCGGTAATTTGCCCTTCAGACAATGCATAATTCAGCAGCCTTCAAGGCGGCCGGCGCCGCCGAAACGTGTCAAACTTGAGAGGCGAGCGGCATCCCGGAAAGGCGGCGGCACCGGCACCGCCCGCGCTGTCCCCGGGCCGCGGCGAGGGACGATGTGCCGAGGGCGCAGCAGCACCGGGCCGCGCTGCGCTCGCCGCCGGAGGCCTCCGCACCGCTCCCGGAGGTGCGCAGCCGGGCGCGGCGGGTGGGGACCGCGCTGAGCCGAGCGGAGCGGGGCCGGGGCGAGGCTGGGGAGGGGGGGCGGGAGGCGGGGAGGGGGGCGGCGGCCTCCCGTCTCCGGGCGGGCTGTCCCGCTTCGCTCTCTCCTCCCCGCCGAGGATCTTCGGCTCGGAGCCGTGGCTGCGTCGCGCAGAGCGGCGGCAGGCAGGCAGGCGCGGCGCGGAGGATGCGCTGAGTGCGGGAAGACAGCACGGCTGCGGTACAGGTCAGTGGCGAGTTCCCCGTCCCCGGGCAGGGCTGTGCCGCCCCGGCACCCCCGTTCCCCCGCATCCCCCGGCTGCTCCCCAACTTTTCCCCGCTCCACTTCGGGAAAGTGCCCAAACTTGCGGCGGGGCATCCCTTGTCCCGCGTTCCCCCCTGACCCCGGCGGCGCGACCCCCTCACCTCGGGGCTGCCCTCCCAGCCCGCAGCGTCGGAGAGAGCGGGCGGCGCCGCAATTAACAGCGCCGGTAATTGCTGGGGTTGCGGGGCAGGTGCCGCACCCGGGGCTGGGCTCGGTGCGGGCTGCCTCGGGGCTGTGGCTCGTCCTCCCTCCCTGGTCCGATTCCCTCGCTCGGGCACGGGGCTCCGAGAGGCGCCTCACAGGGAGCCCAACTTCAGGTGAGGGATGGAGCCGGGGATACGGGGCTGGCTTGAGTGCCTGGAAGGAAAAGAATGGGATCCAAAGCAAACTAGTTAGTGAATGCCGGCATCTCCCTAGGCTGGAAATCCAGATGACCCGAGTTCAATCTGTGTGCAAGCAGGGGCGGGTGTTAAGGCACTTTCTTATTACGGGAGTTGATCTCCAGTAATGGGGAAACGGGGTTTGTTTTAGGTGCTGTTGTACCACATTCCCTTATAAGTGCACCGCTCAGCAAGTCACACGTTCCCCTGCCCAGTGACACTGACAACTCAGACCTTGCAAAATGCCACCTTACCCTGAAGAGGATACACATTCAAAACACGGCAACCATACAGCAAAGAATAATTTTGCATAAGTGTGTTAGTACTAGTATGATACCGCTGGGCAACCAGACAGCCCAGGCACCACGCTGGCATCTGGGGTTCCCGGAGTTGGCTGGGAACAAGGTGATGCCCCGTTGTAGCTGCGTGGTTGTTTTTTTTTAAGCCTTTTGGGGGATTAGGAAAGCCCCTTATTGTAACTGTATTCTAATGTTGCTTTCTGGCTGCAGCTGACTTGTGTCGTGGGCAGATTAACACGCTTAAAAAACCCAGAGATGCTCACTTTTTTATGTTACCCTGCTTACCCTGAAATGCTCATATTTTATTGCAAGATTTAAAAGTTGCAGCTCTTCAGAGAATAGGCTGTATATACAGTACCAGTGGGGGGGGGGGGGTGGGGGTGGGGGGTAAATGGTAAACCCAGATGGCCTGAGAAGTGAAAATACAGTCGCTAAATCCATTTTGTTTATTAAAGATGGTCACCCTCTGATGAGAAAGCTACCCCCAGCTTATCCCGGGAAGATTTCCTTTTGTTAGATGCCTCGTGTCTCATCAATTCCTTTCGTGTCCTCGGGATTTTCTCTTTTCCAGGAGCAGGCCACAGCAGCTCTCTGTGTTAACAGAGGGGATAACAGTTAAGCTCTTCTTTTGAATTCATGAGCTTCCAAATTAAACTTTTGCTGACACCTGCTACCTACCCTGGTTTAGCAGAATGACAGCGTCACCCAGGCTCTGCCACCAAGTGAAGTAAATCACAAAGAGGTGCAAAATGCCCTGGTTAGATCACACAGTGATTTGGGGGAGCTCTGGGAAACCAGGGCTACTGGAAATCTAATCAAAGTCTGCTTCTAATGGAGCAAACTTTCCAACAGCAACCACAGGCAAGAATTAAATCCACAGAGAAGACAGCAGCGGAGATTAATCATCATCATCATCAATTAGCTGATGGAATCAAACAGAACCAAATGAGGGTAAACAAAAATCTGGCTCCCCCTCAGATCTAGCCCCACCTTTATTTATCCAGTGTCAAGGATCCCTCTGCTTTCCAGTGCCAAAAAATTTAGCAGGTGTCATAACATAAGGTCAAGACTTAATTATTTATATGGAGACATCAATCATCATGTGGGGATGATTTATTTATAAATCACCAGAGCTGTAAAATGAGACAGTGAATTCTGATTTTCTCCTGCTCATTGTGAAAGGGGACCAGGAAGGTCCAAGCTGTGGCTGAGTGACCTTTGGAGCCTGCAGAAGTTTCTGCTTGGCCCCACATGGAGGGCTTTCTGTGCTCTTTAAATCATGTAACCAAAATGTCACTAGGGAAATCTTATGCATATTTGCTACATCTCAGTAATGAACATTTACTGATTATGGATTATCTGGAGAATTTAGCTTTTTAAACATTATTCAAATTTTTATGTTTATGTAAGCTAATAAGACTAAGGAGATTCAGTAAGTACTCTTTGCCTTACGGTATTTGAAAAGTATGTCCGTTGGGCTTAGCTCAGCATCTTCCAGAATTGCTTTTAAAATACTAAAATAGAATTTTTCTGCCTAAAAAAAAACCCACCACCCTATCTGTGCTCAATATAATGCTCCTTCCTCACAATTAATGCCAAAAATCAATTTTCTAACATGCTTTTTATGTTTCTGCTGATCACAAACAGAATGGCACAGTAAAAGCTTTTACTGCCATCTGATTAGTCCACAGTTGTGGTAAGTGAATAGCTTGGGCTAGTCTGACTGCAAGGTTCCCGAGCTGAATGCAGTGGATACAGAGAAAAGCATGGGGTGCAAAGCACCAGGAATAATCCTGCTCTGAGTCATTCAAGGAAATCTTTATCAACCATATGAGCAGAAGCAGGATCAGACCCATAGGTTTTCTGATAGCTGGACAAAGTAACGAATATGTGCTTGGGATGTTCCTGAATCTCCTTCTCCTCCAGGTTTCTGAGGAAAGGTTAATGACAGCCAGAGTTTCTCAGAGATTTGTCATTTATTTATCTGTTCATAGAAATGGTGCTGCTGATCTTATTTACATGATTGAATTTCAGATAGGGAGGTGATGATTAAGTTAGACTGAGTCAACCTTGTCAACCAGATAAGGTCCTTTCCAACCCTAATTTTCCATAATACTGTGATCTCAAGTTCCCTCCCAACCCAAACCATTCTGTGAAACTGTGTTTTTTTTTTAAAAAAAAAAAAAACCAAAAAAAAACCCAAAAACTTAGAATATAGGAAGAGAGAGATGGAAAGGGAAGCTACAGTGAAGATGAGTACAGCTAGGATGGAAGGTTTCCTTTGATCTCCTCTCATTATCTCAATAAAACTCTGTGTAGCACAAACCCATAAGCTTTACCATTCAAAAGGACTCTTCGAAGCATGAGGAGTATCCAGGGCAGCTCGTGATCCTTCTGAACTTCATGGCAGGACTCTACCTTGGCAAGAGCAAGTCAATAAGCAATCCTGCACATCCATTATACTGTTCCCAGGGATCTTAAAAGATGACCGTTTATCACTGTATTTCAGTGATAGAAATACTAAAATAATATCTCACTGGGTTTGCAAAACCATGCAGATTATGGGTGAAAGGATGGATGAGCTGACATCTTCAAGAAACAATTAAGACATTAAGAGTGGGGGAAAATATTTTTAGACATCAACCAATCAGTGAGAAGACTGGAATTTAGAACAGGATTCAGTTATGAAATGTTCCTCAAGCACCCGCTGGATCTTACCCAGAGCATATGAAAAATGAAAGATTAATAGTATTTCTCATAGGCAAGACCAGTCAGCTACTTGTGTATTTTTATGGTATGCTGGGTACATTTATAGCAGTTAGTAATGCCAGCAAACGTTCAATATGAAGAGTAACAGATGTATCATGAAACAAGGCACTGGCAAGGCAGGTGGGAAACGATTTCCAAAATATTGCAGCAACCAGGCTGCAAGGAATGTAGTAAGATGGTAAACATAATATAATAGACCTAAGCAGCTTTAACCAAAGCCAGGGTTAAAGCCTCAGGTTGAGTCCCACTGATGCAAGACTGAGCCTGACTCACACGTTACACAGAGGAGGAAAGCCAGGACTTGCTGCATGCAAACCCCAGCAAAAGCGTCTTCCACACCACACCATCCCCTGTGCTTCAAAAGGCGAAAAGTGACAATGAAATCACCGTTGAGCGCAAACAGGAGAAAGGAGAGGAATGAAATTGCATTGGCTCAATAGCAAGAAACAAATCACAGACTTCCTTCATCAGACAGATGATGCCTAACTAGGGCACAAAGTGAACCACGAAGGAAGGTGCCAGATTTCACAAACTAGTCATGGCAAAAACGGTGAATTTCACAGCTTGAAGTGAATTCATGTTATAGGATGAAACAGCATAAAGTGATTAAGAGTTCTGACTGATAGAAGTAATAAGCATGTGAGCCTTAGTCATCACACAGCAGCTGACATTTCTCCCTGGCTTCAGCTGAGCCATAGGAGCAACACCTTCACCTGTCTGTTTCTGATGTTGAGTGAGGGCTAGTGGGGGACATCCACAAATAAGATATTTCCAAGAGTTTTCTGTCTCCAGGGGGCACAAGTATAGTAGTCTAATGGGAGTTGGAGCCACTGTTCTGAAGGCACAGTCTCCTCTCCCAGTGCCACAACTGAAATCTGGAGCTGTGGCCTCAGCGGTAGAAAGCACGCTGTGAGAAGAGGTCAGGAGACAGCATGGCCCTGTATTTACAGCATCACCCCGCTGGTGGAAGAGCAAAGTGGGAGGACAGCTGAGAGAGATTGGAACAAGGGGGTAACTTGCAGCACACTCCCTGCCATGCTGGGGACAACCTTCCAGGTCTGACAATGCCACTCCTGGAACCGTTAGGTGCTGGCATGTGCCACCTCATGGTAAACACGCCACAGCATGCATCCCTAGTAGTAAGCAACCATTAAACAGCCCATTCATTGGCTTTCTTCTGAAAGCCACCCAATTACCATTCTTTTGGGGATAA